GCACAATCACAGCTCACCGTAGCCTCGACCTCCTGGGATCCATCCTCCCAAGCAGCTGGGACTACAGGTGCATGCCACCATGACCCGGCAATCTTGTCTATATGCTTATTAAAACCAAGTGTTTTAGCCATATAAAGCTTAACTTTCAAATACCTGACCTAGTAACTGAAGTGCAACTCAATAACCATTTTATCTTAAAATTAGGTCACTTGAAACACGCTTCCTGAGCAGTATTCACTGGCACATTATGGGTGTGGGACTCTACTTCAGAATGAGAAAATAGGTTAAACTTGCATGCTTACAAGTCATGTGCTCCACAATATAAATTCAAGGACAGAGATTGTGTCACGGCCCTTTTCATCAGTCTAATGTCAAACTTTAGTCAGTATTTAAGACAACGCAGTGGCTCATACCTGTAATCTCAAGCACTTTGGGAGGCCAAGGTGGGCGGATCACATGAGGTCAAAGGTTTGAGACCAGCCTGGCCAACATGCAAAACCCCACCTCTACTAAAAATACAAAAATTAGGCTGAGCACGGTGGCTCAAGCTTGTAATCCCAGCTACTCAGGAGGCTGATGCAGGAGAATCAATTGAACCCGGGAGCCAAGACCACACCACTGCACTCCAGCCTGGGAAACAGAGCAACACATGGTCTCAAAAAAAAATTTAGGCCAGGCGCAGTGGCTCACGCGTGTAATCCCAGCACTTTGGGAGGCCAAGGCAGGTGGATTACCTGATGTCAGGAGTTCAAGACCAGCCTGGCCAACATGGTGAAACCCTGTCTTAAAAAAAAAAAAAAACCCACAACTTGTGACTGGTTACGCAATTCCTCGAGAGGGGAAAAATCAAGACCATACATAGAGACAATATCCCCAAAGCAGCATTTATTTACCCATTGAATTCCAAAACATTTATTTTAGAAGTCTGGCATTTCATAATCACCCATCTTGATTGACATGGGCTGACACACATGGCGCTGTCAGGATACACAAGGACAATAGCCAAAGAGTTACAAAAAATAAATCCATGATTCTTAAACAATTACAACCAAAAAAAAAAGTTACAAGTATCAAAACTTTTAGATGCATTGCATTGAAAAGAAGGTTTGTGCACATCATAATTTAAAGAGGCAAAAACAAGGCGCTACTGAAACCTCACGTTAAACAGTTTATTATAAAGCTGATGGAAAGGAGCAAGTTGTCTCTCTGTATCAGCTTCCCTTAACAGTTTTCCATTAGTTGAAGAAAGAGGTGGGAGGGGTGAATTCATTTTTGCATGCACAAGATGTACTGCTTAACGAAACACTATCAGCTTGTTTTAAATGGATCTTTTAAATATCAACTGTAGCCTGTGTTGGCTAATTCTTTCTAATCTCCCCCATTACTTTCGCCTGGATTTCCCATAGACCAACAGGCATAGTGAAATGCCTCATCAGAATACACTTCTCTGCACAATTCAAAAAGGGAGCTCCTGTGGGCTCAAAGCAACCATCAGTCCAGCAATGCCCATGATTTATCTGAAATTGCTTCCCAAGAGACAGGGGTGCAGATCTGAGTAGCTGTGCTGCCAATACAGATAGGTTTAGCACTAGATATTTAGTGATTGTGGCAAGGAAGAATCAGTGATGATGGGGGTGGTCGGTGAAGGAAGGGCCAGGGGACCTGAAGGATCTTCAGTTGCCTTCTCCTGCTTCTTCATCCTGCTGGTCGCTCGTCCAGAGGGTGAGATTGTCTCGCAGCAACTGCATGATGAGCGTGGAGTCCTTATAGGAATCCTCATTTAGTGTGTCCAGCTCAGCTATGGCGTCATCGAAGGCTTGTTTGGCTAAGAGGCAGGCTTGCTCCGGTGCATTCTGGATCTCATAGTAGAACACAGAGAAGTTGAGGGCCAGGCCCAGCCGAATGGGGTGCGTGGGCTGCATCTGCTCTTTGCTGATTTCAAAGGCTTCCTTGTAGGCAGCTTCGGAAGCTTCGACCACACTGTTTTTCTTCTCCCCAGAAGCGACCTCTGCTAAGTAGCGGTAGTAATCACCTTTCATTTTCAGGTAAAACACCTTGCTCTCATACTGGAAATCATTGCAGTTCTTGATCAGGAACTTGTCAAGCAGAGACAGAACATCATTACAAACTGTCTCCAGCTCCTTCTCAATCTTCTCCCGGTAAGCTTTAACTTTCTCCAATTTCTTTTCATTTCCATCAGCCATGGTTTTCTGCTCAATGCTGCTAATGACCCTCCAGGAAGATCGCCTGGCACCAACTACATTCTTGTAAGCCACAGAGAGGAGATTTCGATCTTCATTGGAGAGAGGTTCATTTAGCTCTGTCACCTGCAAAACCCCAAAAAGATAAACATTGAGAATAAAGTCTGAAAATCTTGGAAAGCAGCCTTGCCTTCAACAAAATCAACAATCCTTCTCAAGAACAAGATTATGAACAAGTCAGTCACTCTGGAGAATAAAAACCACTCATGGACAAAAGCAATATAGACATGAATCCTATGTGAAGAAAGATTGTAGTCTAACAAAAGAGATAAATACTTGGAACCCAAAACAAAATCATAGGGACTTGAGAAATTCATAATTCAGGTCTTATAAGATGTTGTTTTCATCTTGGTAGACGAATGGGACTAAGTGTAATTATGAAAAGGTTGTGCAGCAGCAGTACACAATGGTGAAGATGAAAACGTTGAGCTTCTGCTATTCTACAAAAGATACTCTGAACAGGCTGGGCATGGTGGCTCATGCCTGTAATCCCAGCACTTTGGGAGGCCAAGGCGGGCGGATCATGAGGTCAAGAGATCGATCCTGGCCATCCTGGCCAACATGGTGAAACCTCTCTACTAAAAATACAAAAATTAGCAGAGCGTGGTGGCACACGCCTGTAGTCCCAGCTACTTGGGAGTCTGAGGCAGGTGAAACGCTTGAACCCGGGAGATGGAGGTTACAGTGAGCCGAGATCACGCCACTGCACTCCAGCCCAGCGACAGAGCGAGAGTGTGTGTCTAAAAAAAAAAAAAAAAAAGATATTCTGAACAGTAAGATCGTGCAATCCCTTTGTCAAATGTTCAAAGATGACAGACTAGAAGTGTTCCAGACTCTACTTCCAGCTTTACGCTCTGGAAAGAACTACTCCTCAAATATACATTAATAGATGGTGGGGCTTCACAGATCGGGTCAAACATCACACAGATCCAATGGCCAGAGCTTTGCCCTGTGCGGCTACATATGGAACCCTAATTGATACTCCCAGTCCTCTCCCAAACCAAAATGAAGAATAATTCATTAGTGACACGCAAGTGCCCCCAGACCCTGGTGAAAGGAAGCACAGCTACTCAGCAGCAAGTTGTACTGTCCTACCTCACAGGAAACTCTGGTCCTCAAAGATGGAAGCATCAATTATTATAAGTGGAAGAGTTAAATTTCACAAGCTTTAACTTCCTTTAGTTCTCCATGATGCCAACCACAAGTGAACTAGCTATGCGGTTAGAAGGAAGAACATCATTAGATTTGCTATGGGCTGAACTGTCCCCCCCACCAAAAGATCCCAGGTACCTGTGAATGTGACCTTATTCGGAAACAGGGTCTTTGCAGATAATATAATAAGTTAAGACAAGTCATACTGGGTACTAGGGTGTGCCCTAAATGCAATTACAGGTGTCCTTATAAGGATGGTGAGATTTGGACACAAACACACACGTAGGAAGAATGCCATGTGACAATGGAGGCAAAGACTGGAATGATGCATCTACAAGCCAAGGAACACCAAGGGTTGCCAGCAGCCACCAGAAGCTGGGAGAGAAGCTAGGCAGGATTCTTCCCTAGAGCCTCCAGAGGGAGTGTGGCCTGCCTGTGCCTCACTTCTGGGCTCCAGAACTACCAAGAGAATAAATTTATTATTTTAAGCTATTCAGTTTGTCATACTAGGTTCAGCAACCACTAGGAAACTAACAGAGTTAGTATCAGAAAATCCTGGTCTTGCCCAAGCAAAGAAACTGACTTGCTAAACTGACCCAGGTCATTAAGCCCTTAAAACATCGTGTGTCATCTATAAAGTAGAGGGATTCCTTAATATGATCTACTGGTAAAAGTCTTTAATTTTAACAACGAAAAAAAGAAAGCAAAGCACTTAGGAAACCACAAAACACTACAAAAAAGGTATTTCCTACAGCAAATCTGTAAGGACAGAACCTCCAATGGAGGGAAAAAGCCTAGTTCAATGGGGAAAGATCAACAGCATATACAAACAGACACACTTAAAACAGATTGAGGCCAGGCGCAGTGGCTCATGCCTGTAATCCTTGCACTTTGGGAGGCCGAGGTGGGTGGATCACCTGAGGTCAGGAGTTCAAGACTAGCCTGGCCATCATGGTGAAACCCTATCTTTAAAAACAAAAACAAAAACATAGACTGAGAAGACTGAGCAATGGAGAATCAGAAATCCTGACCAATGATGGTTTATTTGGGGAATTAGTGGTTCAAGAACATAAGCAGCAAGTGTAATCATTATTACATGTAAAAATCAGAAAACTTGTGCCAAGTATCTGAGTCCTCTCTACCCCTAAGCCCCAGACAAAATAAAAATACCAGCTCACTCTTAATTTCTCCATTTCCCTGTCCCCAGGACCCCTACTCTTCTGCTATAAACCCTTAACACAGGATTAATTCTCTCCTTTGCCTACCCATCAACCAAACCCCACTTCTTTCTTCAGTGTGGTCTTTGGCCAACAGCTATCCTGACCATTCCCCAGGGGGGCTGCCTCCACTTTGGTCAAGCCAAGGTTCTCATTATTCATCCTCACATATTCATTAGTAGTCTCCATACCCCTCACTGTGATCTGCCCCTGTCTACCATGAATCTAAAATCCATGCTCCTCTTAAATCCAGTTGAACACCTATAACCCCACTAGTTTCCTCCTCCAGTAAGTGCCTTTAAACACTTACATACATTTTCTTATGGGAAATAGACTTTGTAAATATTTAATAACTTAGTCTTTTTTTCCACATCAGAGGGTCATGGGCCTACATTGTAACAAGGTTTGAGGGTGGCACATCTCACACATGCATGTCAAAACCCAATCATCACACTTATGAACTACAAAAGGATGAATAACTACTTAGTCTTTTAAGGGAGCAACACTTCTAAATCAAAATACCATCCCAAACATTCTGATAAATTAAAGAATGCTTGAATCCTCTAGAATGATTTGCTTTTCTAGAGCAATATTCAATAAAACAAAGCACGAGGCAACAACAGAATTTGGAGAGCTCCTCTGATCCTGTAGTAATTAAATCCAACTAAGGCCATTTGGCAGTAAAATGCAAATAATATCCATAAGGAGTCACAATATACTTCCTCCTGTGACTAATGAAGCTGCTTCTGTTAAACTGGCAAAGATACACCAAGGTACCTTCCCAGAGTATAACATTTAAAAGACAGTGCTGGGCCGGGCGCGGTGGCTCAAGCCTGTAATCCCAGCACTTTGAGAGGCCGAGGCGGGTGGATCACGAGGTCAAGAGATCGAGGCCATCCTGGTCAACATGGTGAAACCCCGTCTCTACTAAAAATACAAAAAATCAGCTGGGCATGGTGGTTCGTGCCTGTAATCCCAGCTACTCAGGAGGCTGAGGCAGGAGAATTGCCTGAACACAGGAGGCGGAGGTTGCGGTGAGCCGAGATCGCGCCATTGCACTCTAGCCTGGGTAACATGAGTGAAACTCCGTCTCAAAAAAAAAAAAAAAAGACAGTGCTTATCTGAAATATATATATAATATAGTGTGCTTGCATAACACAAAAGGCAGTATATTTTTTATTATTATTAAGATGGGGTTTCCCCCATGATGGCCAGGCTGGTCTTGAACTCCTGACCTCAGGTGATCCACCCACCTTGGCTTCCCAAAGTGCTAGGATTACAGGTGTGAGCCACCGTGCCCAGCAAGGCAGTATAATTATTAATCCCAAGACATCTAGAGTTTAGTCTGAGCTAGCTATGTGACCTTAAACAAATCACAACCTTTTTGGACATCAAAGGTAAAATAAGGAGGATTAGCCTAAATGATCTCCAAGCTTCCTTCGGCTCCAACATTCCATGATTTCATTTTTCCTGTGCATCAATAAAAGGTGTGGCAAGGTGTGATGAAGTTGATCCTAGGTAATGTGAACCTTGGGGTGTATCTGCAAGCATATTCTTTCTCCATCAGGAATAAACTGCCAAAAAAGGATACTGGGCAGTATTTACGATGACACCTTCACAACAAAAATAATTTACTGGGAGTATTAGTGTTTATGTAACAATCATCTGGTTGTCTGTCAGTCTGAATGAATCACTATCAGCATTATCACCATTAGCTGAGGGTGACTACCATATCTCACCAAGTAAATGTTGTTCCTAGTAATCTAGCCAGAGTCTAACTAGGAAATAACTAGATACATTTTTTTTTTTTTTTTTAAGATGGGGTTTCACCATGATGGCCAGGCTGGTCTTGAACTGCTGACCTCAGGTGATCCACCCACCTCAGCCTCCCAAAGTGCTAGGACTATAGGCGTAAGCCACCGTGCCCAGCTAACTGGGTATATTTAAATACCATATTTTTTAATATTCCTGGGTCATAATTCAGTTAACAAAAGAAACTTAAGAAATGAAGATGGTTTGCTACTTGATTAGATAACTAAAGACAACTGAGTTTTTCCCATATTGGAAAACTATAGACCCATGTAAAATCAAATAGTCCATTAAAACAAAAAGATTTATAGCCAATCTTGATGGATGATACTTAGCACCAGTTCCCAACACTTCAAATACCAAAATACAGGAGCCAGGAGAACTAATAAAAAGTTAAGTCATAAACTATACTAAGAGAGGCAAACATTGGGAGGCAACACAGCATAATAAATGTACTCCGGGTCCCAACCATGCCACCTAAGATCATCTTTACCATCTAATGAGATGAGATTTATTGCATCTCTACAATCACAGGTTTTCAAATTGTTTCTAATTAGGAACCTGAAGCAGAAACAAGACATTGAATGTTAGAGACAGACCTAAACAATAGTTTTCAGCCTTCTTTCCACTCTAACACCAAGATTACAACAGTCATTTCTGCCCCATATGGCACCTGCCCTCAGTGTAGCCACACTGGGTACTGAGTCTTCACCTAGCTATAAACCAGGGGTTTCGCCACCTCTATTCACAGCCTCTCTGCTTTCTAGATGTCCTGCCTGCCTTCCTGCCATCTGTAATACCACTTATACCCTTTCTGAATGACAACCTTAAACTGATGAGAAGAGCCATTTCCATGTACAAAGGTCCTCCTCTCCATTTCTTTTAAGCACTGGACTCCCTGTCAGCCAGTTTTACTGACATCCTGACCCAACAGCCTTTAGCTACATCTACTCCCCTGCCCAAGGCACTCACTTCACATCTCTGCTCCAGGACTATCCAACATTACTAAATGTCAAAAATGACCTGGCCTGCTGATTATTCACTTATTTTCCTAGGACACTATTCGTTTACCCAAAAATCTCTAAGGGCCTCCTCCCACTACTCACAAGGCAATAAACTATGTGTGTGTGAGTAAAAATAGATCCACTGCCAAAAATAGCACAGGGACTATTTAGGAAAATTTAAAGTTCTTAATCTGGGAAACATCCAACATCAAAAGTAACAATGAGCAAACAAAAATGCCACCCCTGAGCTGCCAGGCCATAGCTGCTTAAGTTAGGGGTAATGTTATTTCACTTGAATATGGTGACATCCTTCACAGCTACACACATGCTATAGGCTCATCCTTTATAGTTACCCACACCTACATGCTATCAACCAGCTTGCTTTTGATATGAGTAAGAAAAGTAAATGATTCTCATGATTAAGTAAACATAACCACATCATAAAACCTTTAAACTTCTTTGGCAGAAGGGGGTGTGTGTGTGTGTGTGTGTGTGTGTGTGTGTGTGTAAAAGTGAGCTTGAGGGGCCAGGTGCAATGGCTCACACCTGTACTCCCATCACTTTAGGAGGCCAAGGCAGGTGGATCACTTGAGGCCAGGGAGTATACCCAGTCAACAGAGAAACCCTCTCTCCCCTAAAAATACAAAAATTAGCCAGACATGGTGGTGTGTGCCTGTAATCCCAGCTACTTGGGTGGCTAAGACATAACAATCACTGGAACCTGGGAGGTGGAGGTTGCGGTGAGTCAAGTTTGTGCCACTGCACTCTAGCCTGGGTGACAGGGCAAGACTGTCTTCCCCCCTCCAAAAAAATGTGAGCTAGAGGAATAAGAGCTTGCCGAGCTCTTTCCCAAGTTAATGCTTAGGAAGTAAGGATCCTGCCTGGCCTATCCCCAAGCTGGCAAGGCATCCATCAACAGACAAATTCCTACAGGCCACTGTGGAAGAACATCCCAGCCAGGGTCAGGCTGAACACCGTATCCTCACCAGGATGAGGCTGCAATTCCGTAAGGCCACAAATAGGCTAAGCTTCAAGCTCTGGCCAGGCGCGGTGGCTCACGCCTGTAATCCTAGCACTTTGGGAGGCCGAGGTAGGTGGATCACCTGAGGTCAGGAGTTCAAGACCAGTCTGGCCATCACGGTGAAACCCCATCTTATAAAAAATAAAAATGAGAGGCCGGGCGCGGTGGCTCACGCCTGTAATCCCAGCACTTTGGGAGGCCGAGGCGGGTGGATCACGAGGTCAAGAGATCGAGACCATCCTGGTCAAAATGGTGAAACCCCGTCTCTACTAAAAAATACAAAAATTCAGCTGGGCATGGTGGTGTGTGCCTGTAATCCCAGCTACTCAGGAGGCTGAGGCAGGAGAATTGCCTGAACCCAGGAGGCGGAGGTTGTGGTGAGCCGAGATCGCGCCATTGCACTCCAGCCTGGGTAACAAGGGTGAAACTCCGTCTCAAAAAAAATAAATAAAATAAAAATGAAAAATAATAAACTTCAAGCTCAGAGCAGGCAAGTTCAGGTCATATGCTAAATTTTAGTGAAATAAAACAGTTATCCTTGAATAGTCAAGAGACGTCTGCTTTGCTTTTTATGTAATTGAACATTTTTATAGGGATTGGCAAGGATTAATACATGCCCATCTGAATGGCATTACTGCATGCTACTGTCCCTAGAGGCACCAGAATCGAAGGCTTCAGAAGCTGTGCCAGGTTCGGATCACTGGAAGTGACAACACTCACCACTGCAGAAGGGAGTAGGGGTGGGGGGTGAGGGTGGGAGTAGGGGTGGGAGGAGCACCAAAATGCTGGGGCAGAAGACAAGCTGCCTCCACTCGGACACTAGGAGAAACCTTACCAGCAACCTAGACAGAAATTCTGGGGCCTGCATAAAAACGTACTAAAGGATACGGGGAGAAAAAATATACACTAAAGGCAATATGGAGAAACAACTCCAAGAATATAAAAGAATTTCTTCCAAAACCTAAAATGCAATTAAAAAAAAAATTTCTTTTTTTTTTTTTTTTTGAGAGGGAGGCTCGCTCTTGTTACCCAGGCTGGAGTGCAATGGCGCGATCTCGGCTCACCACAACCTCCGCCTCCTGGGTTCAGGCAATTCTCTTGCCTCAGCCTCCTGAGCAGCTGGGATTACAGGCACGTGCCACCATGCCCAGCTAATTTTTTGTATTTTTAGTAGAGACGGGGTTTCACCATGTTGACCAGGATGGTCTTGATCTCTTGACCTCGTGATCCACCCGCCTCGGCCTCCCAAAGTGCTGGGATTACAGGCTTGAGCCACCACGCCCAGCCACTAAAAAAAAAATTTCTTAAAATACCCGATAAAATATAACATAGTCCTGCACTTAACTCATAGGAGAAATTTAAATTCAATTAATGCTTTGTTAAGCCAAAAAAAAAAAAAAAAA